TGGAACATCACTGGTCCCTTCAACATGCAGATCATCAAGGCCGATCAGGAGGGTGCTGAGCCCGCGCTCAAGGTTATTGAGTGCAACCTGCGCGCCTCCCGCTCCTTCCCCTTCGTCAGCAAGGTCCTGGGTACCAACTTCATCGATGTCGCCACCAAGGCTCTCGTCGGCCGTGATGTCCCCGAGCCCGTTGACCTCATGAAGGTGAAGCGTGACTACCTTGCCACCAAGGTTCCCCAGTTCTCCTGGACCCGTCTGGCTGGTGCCGACCCCTTCCTGGGCGTCGAGATGTCCTCCACCGGTGAGATTGCTTGCTTCGGTAAGGATCTGGTTGAGGCCTACTGGTCTTCCCTCCAGTCCACCATGAACTTCCGCATGCCTGAGCCCGGTGAGGGTATCTTGCTCGGCGGTGATGTCACCCAGCCCTACCTCGCCAAGATTGTCGAGTACTTGAACCCTCTTGGCTACAAGTTTTTCGCCGTCAACCCCACGGTCAAGGATCACCTCGAGTCCGCTACCAACGCCTCCGTGCAGCTGATCGAGTTCCCCAAGAAGGACAAGCGTGCTCTCCGTGAGGTGTTCCAGAAGTACGACATCCGTGGCTGCTTCAACCTTGCCAAGACCCGTGGCAAGACCCAGCTTGATGAGGACTATGTTATGCGTCGCAACGCTGTTGATTTCAGCGTGCCCCTCTTCATGGAGCCTAAGGTATGTTTCCAAGCGCTGATGTCCATAAATATTCAAGTTACTAACCGATTCTCTCTACAGACTGCCCAGCTCTTCGCTCAGTGCATGAGCGAGAAGCTGCCCCGCGGTGAGGGAATCCCCTCCGAGGTCCGCACCTGGTCCAACTTCGTCGGCGGCAAGGCACTGTAAATCTCTTAATTTTTTTTTGTACAAAGTGACAGAAAAAGAGAGAAAAAAAAGCCCCACTATGTCGAGGTAAAGAGAGACAGGATGTCAACATCTCTTTTCGCTCGATAACCCCTGTGACCTCTCCGGGTCCTCCCGTCATGACTTTCGAATATAGGACAGAATCTAAACTTTCTGTGTGGTGTAGTGGGTAGGGCAATCTTGTTGATAGATGGCGTGCATTATCGTTTCGGCCTTTCTTAATTATTGTACTCTCGGATCGGAATGTTGTCTTTTCCTTATGAATTGTTGAATTGTTCTTCATCTCTACTCTCTACTCCACGGCGAATCAAGGTTGGATATAGCTGTGTAGTACTCATATTCCCCTGATATATGAATTTGACCGTGTTTTTAAGATTTCTTCCCCGTACTCCGTACTCCGTTCACCGTATGTACTTGGGTATATATTCAGGGTCTTCAATATTATCCCATTTCCAGGGGCTCAGCCACAATATCCGTCGTTAGGGCTAGGAGGGGCATGAGCCTCCTCCGGGCGCCAATTAGAAGAACACGGGTAGTCTCACTTGGAAGTTCCCCCTTGTGATAGCAATTTGGGCCGACTCTTGCGACCAATCATCCTAATTTATGGCTTGTCTCTTTTGTTTTTGTTACTCCTTGGATTTCTTTATCTTCAACCTAGATAACCTAGGTCTCCACTGATGTTTACATGGTCTACACCGACTTGGCTTTAGTTTTTCTTTTATCAGTTCTCTTAAACCGACTTACCTATTAGCGCCAAGCTCGAGTCTTTAGTACATTATAGTACAGCACTAGTATACGAAGGATGCTTGGCTTCCGGATCTCCGCGACTCTTTTCGGGGAACCCATTGGGCGCACTAGTGATGAGGCAGCATGACAGTCCTCTTGGTTTTTATCCTCTCTGCTTCCTGGTTGTTTTTCTTCTGCCCAACCCCAACTCTCCCTATTCTACGACCTTGAGACCCTTCATCTTCAAATCCTGCAAACATGCGCTCATCCTGGTCCCTCCTCTCTGCCCTAGCAGCCCTGGCCGCAGCCGCCGATCCCAGCACAACAACGATCAGCTATTTCGCAATCGACAATGACTCCGGCGGTGCCGACCTCGGTGCCTACTCCAGCACCGCAGGCCGGGTCGTTGGCATCGACAAGTACGCCACAACCTACGAGATTGCCTGCTTGCCAAGCGCATCCAAGTGCGCATTGAAGAATCCCGCAACCCTAATCCAGGGCGATGCCACATACAGCGTCTCCCTCGAAGCAATTTTGGTTACCAGCGGTACTACGGCCCACGCAACCGCCGTCGAGTCATGCAGCTTCACCCGTGTTTCGGAATCTGCTGTCTGCAGCTGGAGTCTTGCATACACCGGTATCGTGGGTTCTACCACCGTTTCCGATTCCGCCTCTAGCACACAGTCTATCCCGTCGTCTTTGATTACCTATAAACCTCTTACTATCACCAATGGCGTCTACGCTCTCACGGCTGATGCCACGGCTTCGACTTCGCCGGTCAAGATTACCACTACCCCTGCGTCTACTGCTTCTACTGCTTCTACGGGAGGTGCAGCGGCTGCTGCGAAGCCTTTGATCACTGCTGCGCCGTTAGGTGCCGCGGCTGCTGTTGCTTTTGCGGCTATGCTTTAGGCCTTGAGTTTGGTTTTTTCGTTTCATGTCTAATGTTTACATGGTTGGGTTTGAGTCTCCAGGTACATGCATTTTGAATGCGATACGCTATATGTATATTTAATAATTCGCCCAAATATTGCATCGAGTCTGACTCTATTTTACTACAAATCTTATCTTTGACCCTCACTATCTGGGCTTAGCTTAAATCATGTAAGACGCTAGCCACCAAGGTTGACAATAATAAAATGCTTGGCGAACAACTTTTAACTAGTAGATATTCGAGTCACTAGAGAAATCCCGGGATCTTTTCATCAGGCTGCTCTTTGTGGGCAGTATGTGGGAGAGTCTATCAATCTTCTTCTATAAATGCCAAGAGATTCAAATACAATGACGAATATTCACCGCCCTGCCCACGTGGACGACTATCCACTTTGATGGTTATATCTTCAAACAATTCTTATTTCTATATATTCAGATCGCCCACAATGGCATCAAGAACTGCACTACCTTCAGTGACGACCAGGACGGTCCCACAGCCTGCCCCCAATGGCATGGGAAACGGCCTGTTTGCGACAACCGACATCAACCCCGGTGAAGATGTTTTGCACATCAAAACACCATTTGTGGCGGTTCTTGACTCTCCACGTTTAGAAGATACATGTGCTGGATGCTTTGGAAAAAGACAGGCGGAAACGGGGAATGAATTGAAGGCTTGCACGGGATGTCGTGTCGTGAAGTATTGTGATCGGGTGAGTTGTGATGGGGATAGATCGTTTGCTTGCTGTCTCATACTTCTCGTCCTACCAATGACTATGTCGTTTTTGATCTTCTAATATTTGATAATTAGGTGTGCCAATCTAAGGACTGGAAATTTGCGCATTCTCTTGAATGTCCCATCTTCAAAAAGGTCAAACCTATGGTGCTTCCCAACAATGCCCGCGCTCTCTTGCGCATAGTGCTGCGCAATGCGCGTAACAAGTACGATTCTGAAGAGTTTAAGGTCTTTGATGGCTTGGAGACTCATATCAATGAGATCTCAGAGAGCCAGGGCCAGCTTGATAGGATTAATCTGACAGCAAGAGCTGTCAAGAATTACTCGGAGACGGATGTGGATGAAGGAACTGTTGCTTCTTATGCTGCCAAGGTAATTGATTTCACCATTACACCCGTGGACCTCTTACCTCGCAGATTTCTCATCTAACTATCATTTACAGTTGGATCTCAACTCCTTCAACCTTACCACCTCTATGTATGATCGCATCGGCCTGTACATGCATCCATATGCCGGTTTGATTAACCACAGCTGTGACTACAACTCCACCGTTGGATTTGATGGCGAGGAACTGTACGTCAAAGCCATGCGTCCCATCAAAAAGGGCGAGCAAATCTTCATTTCCTACATCGATACGACGACTCCATACGACATCCGTCGCAACGAACTGAAAGAACGTTACTTCTTCGACTGCCAGTGCACAAAGTGCGAGATGGGAGCGGAAACCCTAGAAGACCGGTTCCTGTCTACACCTGAAGATATGAAACCCCTAGAGACAGCAGAACGCGAGGCCCTAGAGCTCCTGCAGAAAGCCACTGCAACTAGCACGGAGCCAGCAGAGGCAATCGAGAAGTTGGAAGCTGCCATGCACAAGCTTCATGAAACAGCCCTATGGCCTCTCACCCGTCAGCCTTATGCTTCTCTCCGCGACAAGCTGATCATATCTCTCCTAACGGCGGGTAAATTCACCCGGGCATTCATTCACGCTGCCATTCGATACCTACGAATCGATCCTGTTGTCTATGACAAGGCCCATCCCATCCGACACATCCATGCATGGAGCCTAGTCAGGCTTACCGTCTTCATCTCCCAGGAGGGTTTCCAGCCTGACCCCAAAGATCCTGTCCAGATCAATGACTTTAAACTGAACTTTCACTACTTGATTTGGTATATTCTCGCTGAACTTACTAGTACCCAGGCAGAAAGCTGCACAGTTCCCAGCTTTAAGAAGCTTGTTGGAAACCAGTTCGTACAAGTTCATAATGAGTTTAAAGCCAATGGCCTTGATCCTAGCAAGACCAAGGCGCTTCTCTCTGCTGAGTGGAACAAGCTTGAACGTCTTGTCAACAAGGCTTTAGAGAAAGAGTGAAGCTTTATATTTTACTCAAAATTTGATCAAACTGCAACATGGCCAGCCTTACTGGAATAGATTGAGCACCTTTCATAACAAAACAGTAGTGCCATGTACCGGTGTGCTCAATTGTGTCTCACCTTTTATGCCCGAAATGGTAGGAACGATCGGGGTTGATGCCGGGCTGTACACATAACCGCCGCTTCGCTTCTGAAGCCGATCGACCCTTCCTCTTTGGGGTGATTGGAGACTATATAAACTGTCCCCAGCCCATTCCTCTTCTCCTCTTCTCTTTCTCTCTCCCACATCTCTTTTCCTTTAAATTGCCTGCAAAGGCAATTTGATCCCACGAACAACACCCAAATGAAGGCCCACGAAATGGCTGTGTTGCCGGACCGCCGGTCCATGGAGATGGGGCCTCCAACACCCCAACCTACTGATGAGGTTCGTGCCGCCCCCGAGACCAGTTTAACCTCCCACTACGGGGCCAGCCGTCGGGCTGCGACCTCCCGGTTTGTCGGTATTAGGACTCCGGTGATTCCTCCCGGTTACCAGCAGATCCCAGGGTACGAGGCCCACCGTCAGCGGCAGGAGGCTCGCGCACTCATGGGATCGATTGCGGAGCGCCGGGGTAAGCCTACCCCCGCCCCAATCTTGATATTTGGTGATGCTCTAAGTCTTCTGCCGCGCCGACGACGTTGGTAAGTCAATTTCATTTCATTTTCACTTCCAGTCTCTCTTATCTTAGTTTCAATTTGATTTCAGCTTGTTCTCGGATTATTCTCAGTTCTTTCTTATTTCATATGTTCTATCTAAGATGAAATTTGTTTTAGTTTTTATTTTTTGGATTGGACTCGGCTGAATTTTGATTCTGATAGGGTCCTTGGGTGCCTCTCGTGCTGGTGCCTTTGCCGGAGCCAGAGCTCAGCAGCTAGCCAATGAGCGAGCTTGGACTATGTCTGGGGGAGCTTTCTGCTGGTGCTTTTGGTAAAGATGGTAAGTGAGGTTTCTGTAGTGTGCGGGGTGGTTCTCGAGGGGCTGGCAGCCCATTGGTAAGGCTTATCTATCTCTGGTTTGGCCTTCAGTTCTGAATACTAACAATATGACATACAGGTTTCGTTGCTTTAAGTTCTGCTCCCCGGGTTTGACCACCGGGTACGGGCTCGATATAGTTACTGCAATTGGAGTTGGGTAATATTTCCAAGGCTTGGATTGGTCTTCAGAACGAACTGCATGGGATTGTAAGATAGGTACACTGGCCAATGTCCTTTTTCAAGGAGCATAATCCTGGCTTCAGCTACGAAACGCCAAAGTCACGCCATACGAGAACAACTCCAAGCTGGCACCAAACGCCACGACCCTATCCTAGGGCCTTCCACTGTGTTCTGAAGTCACAAAGTCATTGCAAATTCAGAAGAACACGCGTGACAAAATCATGTGGCTATATAACCGATTCCCATGGCGACGGTCTTCTATGTGGCTTCAGGTTCGTGTGGTTTTACAACTGTCCTTTGAACGGTTGTCAGACCGAGGGACTAACAAGCCGGCGGCAACAAACCCAAAACCCTCTACGCCATTGGCACTGACTGGGAACCGGATGACACACGAAACAAGGGCGTTCAGCACTATTAATTCCAGTGGATCTTGGTGAACGAGGCAGGGATTCCACGAGTACTATCATCGTCAGCCAGACGCGCTGGGTTGCGCCTACCACACCAGCACGTGAAATGTTCCACGGGTTCGAGGACGACATAACCGCAGACTGCGACGACATTGACAAGATTTCTCAGTCAGCGTGGGTGCGTCAGTTAAATGCAGAACTGCAAACACCAGAAGGCCGACAAATTATTCTTACATACATTGATGCGACAGGTATGCGCCGTGAGTATGAAGACAAACTCGCGGCAATAGACGCTCGCCTTCAGTCGTGCTAGGACGGCGCCGTGAAGCATGTAATGCGGGGTCTACTAGAGCAGCCTCCGTTTGCCAAAAGAAGCCAACGATAATGAACCCGAAGAATACCAAACCCAAGGCCAAGGCAACCCCACGTCCTCTCAGAAGACAATCACCGAAACGTCAGCTGCTCAAGCAACTGAGACGGTCGCCTCACCACCTGTCGGCCTAAGACAGCTCCCAGTAGCTAGCTGAATACATCATCTTATCTTCCCCTAACCTTTCAGTGGTAAGAATACCCCAACAACCAACGGGACGCTGATCCCACCGCCTGACCATATGCCACATTGTGACTGGCCGCCTGCGCGACTTCAAATCGAAGGTCGAAGATGAACCATTTTCGCCAGCGCTAGCGGCTTAGTCCTCAAATAGTCGAATACTCCCCAAGCAAACATGTCTTCAATGGCAACATAACTCTCCTGTATTTTTCATGTATTTCGTTGGATGTGAATATTATCATGTGTTCCATATATGCTGCTCGTAATATTAAGTATAAAAATTGAGGGTGGCTTGTTCAGTGTTCTTGTGTATAGTCCATTCCATGTTTAATTATCATCCTTGGAAGGTGTAGGGCCCTACTTTCTTTAGCAGATGGACCGACGTGAAATTTAACTGCTTTTGTACATTTGAAAAACGAACCAATCTACAAGCCGAAGCTTTATGAATGCCGCAAGCGCGCCAAGATTGTCCAGATGAGCTTGATCCTCTCATCTAATATCCCATACGACAACAGTCAAATGTATAATATCATGTCCATTTACCAATATGGATAAATACAGGAATAGAAGATAAATAATCAATCGAGCATACAGAGATGTTCATATATACAGTGTACAAAAGTCAAGTCATAAAATATATCACATCAGACTTGTTCGGCCTCCAATCTCATTTGCAGCCTCGCCGTTGGGCATCTCGCCATTTCGGCCTGCGACAAACTCACGGTAAATTCCCTGAAGACGTCTACGCTCTGCGGGAGGAAGGGAACCACGCGTGGTAGCCAATGAGCGCTCAACATGCTCCCAGCGGACGATGATATCCTCACGCAGCTCGTCTACATCAGGCCCAGTGCCGTTAGCCACCGGGGCCGCGGCGTTCGTACCGGAAGGTCCCTGCTCGAGTTGGCGCTGGCGGCGGCGCGAGTTCTTGATTGCCTCCAGTTTGGCGGAGATCACTGCCGGGGCTGGCATGGAGACAGACCCGGATGCTTCCTCTGAAGAGGAGTAGAGGAACTGGATGAAGGATTTGCTAGAAGCACTACCGGAGTTGGACTTGGCACTGGGCTTGGCTGTGTCGGTAGAACGATCACCCAGGGCGTCGTGGACGGCCTCGAGATGGGCGTTGTACACCACAGCCTGCAGATCTGCACCGGAAAATCCGTCGGTTGCGGCGGCAATATCGTCTAGACGAGACGTGACCTCGTCACTCATCTTGAGCTTTGCACCCACTGAGCGGATGATATCAACACGGTCTGCATGGTTGGGCATGCCACAAAGGAGGGACTTGTCGAGACGGCCAGGTCGAAGGAGCGCAGGATCGATTAAGTCGGGTCGTGACGTAGCTGCTAGCACGTAAACACCCGAGAGACCTTCTGCACCGTCCATTTGTGTCAACAGCTGGTTGACAACACGATCCGTGACACCGGTGGAGTCGTGACCACGCTTGGGTGCGATACTGTCGAACTCATCGAAGAAGAGGACGCAAGGGCGAGCAGCTTGGGCTCGCTCGAACAAATCGCGAACACTCTTTTCACTGGCTCCGATGTATTTGTTCAAAATCTCGGGACCCTTGACACTGATGAAGTTCAACCCACACTCGCCAGCCACGGCGCTGGCCAGCATTGTCTTACCGCAACCGGGGAATCCATAGAGAAGTAAACCAGATCGCAGACGCAATGGGCACTGGGCGAAGATCGGGGCATACTTTGTAGGATACTGCAAAGTTTCCAACAGCATCTTGCGAGTTTCGAACAAACCACCAACCGAGGAAAATGTTGTTGTTGACGAGGTAAGAGTAACATTGCGAAGAGACGCCGGAGTGAAGTCCTTCAACGCACTTTCAAAGTCCTCTAACCCGAGAGTTATCATCTTTGATGTTGCTGTCAGATCTGAGACAGAGCGAATGAGGGCCTCATTACGCGCACGAGCAACAAGTAGCACAAGATCACCGGGCATATATCCATCGGTTTTACCCGCCAGCTCTAGATACTCGACATCCCTTCCAATAACAAACCCATCACCACCAGAAGAGCTTGGTCGGCTCCCCGGATTTGAAGGGTCCAACCATGAGTCTTGTGTTGAGGAGCTTGCGGCCCTCACATGCCCGTTTGAGCTTTCTGTAGGTTTATCGTCGCTAGTAAGTTTTTCCAAAACTCTTCGGCGTCCTTCCTTGTCAGGAGCTCTCATGTTGATAATCTCACGGACGACGTGGCCACCGATGATAACATTATTGAGAGACTCTTTGGCCTGGGCAGTAGCCAGTAGCACAACCGAGGAATTCAGCGCGCAATATTCTCGAACCATAGCACAGATAACCTCACTGTTTTGGCGACTGCGGCCATTGTCTCCACCTACTTGCAATTCAGTCTCCGCTGGGCAAAGTTTGTCTAGGTCTTCAAGGATCACAACTGACTGGCCGCCAAGACGTGCACACCATGATGCGGACATGAAAAGGCGGTTCAGGGTCTCTTTGATGTTAGAAATACGTGTTTCATCTGTGACGAGCTTTCGGCAAGAGAAATACTTGACATTGAAGAGATGATCTCGTCTTAGGCGATGAGCCAGTAGCTGGGTAAGAGCTGTTTTACCAGCACCAAGACCACCAGTAAGCAAGATAGACGATGATTTTGTTAGGTTGTTCAACGACTGTTCAATGATAGAATCAATCCCTACCAATTGGGGGGCAGTTTCTGGGAGAGGGTCCTCCATAGGTAGCGTTGATGAACTAGTGTCAAATGGCTTGGGGATTTCAGCTTGAACTTCAAGATTCAGCTTCGCTTCTGAGCCCAGCAACCACCCGAACATTGACTTTGTTTCATCCGAAGACCCCTTCAAAGGAGGATCAAAGCGAAGAATAGCACCATCAAACGAAGAGACTGAAGGATGATTCTCGGATTTGGGTATAATCATTCCATCGGTCAAAGCCCCCGAAAATAGCCCGGTGTCGGACCCAGTGCTGCCGTAGATGACTTTAAGGCGTTCGGCTAGGGCATCCCGAGATGCCGTAGTGTCAGCACCAAACTTCAGCCCGTCCTTCTTCTTTGAGGCATCGGTTATGAAAGGATAAACTTTAAGAGTCTTGACTGCCGAGCGATGCAGCTGTGGGGGTGCTGCTTCGACTCGGAGAATTCCTCCAACCATGTTCTCCGCACCAAGGGCCGTGCACAACAAGGTCGACATTGCCACATGCCGATTGTCCGGAGCCTCCTCCCACGGAAGCAATTTGGCTACGATCTTGGTTGTAGGGGCGCCAGCATCATTTGACTTTTGCTGTTCGGCTTGCGCAAGTTGCTGTTGGGGATCTGGTGGGGATTTGAGACCAGATGGCTGGACAACCGACACGCATGCCCAAGTCGCTCCGCGCAGCTCATGGCTGACCAGCAGGTCCGGATCAACCCAGATACGGAGGCCCTCATTTGCATCATCTTCTACTTCCCCATCAAAGTATTGAGCGGTTGCTGAGCGGTCCACGCCTCTCAAGTAGAGAGAGCCTCGTGTGCTGGAGTCGGATCGACCACTCTTCGGGCGTACAGTGCTCGAAGCACTCCTGCCCCCAGCACTCTTCCTGCTGCTACCAGTAGCACTGCGGCTGTCCGCCCGAGAGCTTTTGCTTGTCTTGGATCGAACTTTGGGGGCCACTATGACTTCTGCATCCGGCGCGATCTTGGCAAAGGGGGAGGTGTCTGAGGGAGCGGGCGTAAGAGAAGTAACGACAATATTGGCCGTCGATGTGGGAGAGAGATGTAATGCGAGTGGGTGCATATGCACCGATTGCCCTGCATTGTATGTAGGATTGGGTAGAGCGCGAATTTGTGACAAAAGGTTAAGTTCCAGGAATGTGGCGTGCAGTTCAATGACTATTCGTGTCGAGTTAGTACCGGTTCAATTATAGTTGTTTATGATTTAGACATACTCTCCCAATCTTCAGGTGTCAATGGCTCAATGTTTATCGTATGTGCAACGGGTGGATCGAGGTGGATGAACAATCCGACCTGCAAGTGTTAGCGCCCCACGTGGGTAATGACGCACGGGGTGTATTGTACCTTCTGCCCTTCTGTGAGACCAAGAAGCCGCCCGAAAGTAGTATCAAGCTCAACAGTTGATATTTCCTGTTCCCTGGAATATCCACTGTTGATACCGTCTCTCCCAACGACAGGCGCAAGCCTGCGCTTGCTCGGCATACCCGTCCAACCGAGGAAGCATGACTGCTGCGGAGGAGCTCCATTGGCCTTTCCGGAGGTCGATTTATATTGTAATTCGATAATGACATTCTGAGCAGTCTGATATAGCTAGACGTTAGCCTGAAATAGTCCACGGAAACAGAACACCTAGTAGACTGACCGTGTTTGCATTGACCAGCAGAGCGACCAGCGACGGCGGTAGATTAACAAGACAGTTCTTGAGGGGAGTTAGGGCAACTTCGGCCGTCGCAGCAGGCTTCTTGGGCGCCATTTTGAAGCGCTGAATTATCGTGAGCACCGAAAGGACAAGGAGGAGGGGGAACTGTGAACTCGGAGAGACACAACCCCGGACTCCACACTTGACCTCTCTTTCGCCTCGGCCCGATGACGAGTCATGTGACACATACCTCGATAGCGGACAATCGGATAAAGGAATACTCCGGGATAATTGATACCTTTCCTAATCAGGTTAGTCTCATTTTTGAGCGCGTCCCGACCTCGCGTTCGCGTTTTACCTGCGAATTTGGTAGGGGCTCGGATAGACACTAGACGGACCCTCTTCTCTATTTCTCTCCCGATCCCACTATCGATTCTTTGCGCTTTCAATTGAGCGCACTTAGTTACCATGTCTCTCCTTCAATATCCCCCACCTGTGGATTATTCCGCGCAACTGAATGGCTTCAAGGATTTCTTGAAGGGGTTCAAGACCTTCCAATCATCCTCAGAGGCTGCTGCGACCGAGGCATTGGAAGATCTGAACATCGATGACGGCCAAACTAGTGATGAATATGATTTCATGGATGATGCCGATGAGACCAATGGGGCAAATGCCCGAGGAGCAAGGAGGCACCGGGAGCCGAAGCTCAAGTACATGCAAATTCTGCAGGATATCGCAAACCGGGATACATCTAACATCCTGATTGAGTTGGATGATCTTTCAGTTGTGAGCATTCAATATGAGCCCCTCTCACTAAACTATAGCTCACAATGGTGGTAATAGTTCGAGAAATCCATGCCCGAGGGGGAAGATCTGAAGCTCGTCGAATCTATCGAAAAAAACACAAAGCGCTATATCGATGTTATCTCTCAAGCGGTCGATGATGTTATGCCTAGGGAAACAAAGGATGTCACGTATGTCCAATCTGTCTTCATGCGAATGTACAGGCTGTTAAACTGATTACCCTACAGATTCAAAGATGATGTTCTTGATGTGATCATGTCGCAGCGTGAGAAGCGAAATGAGACTATGGAAACCGCAATGGAGGCCGATATGGAAGCTGCTGCGACCGCCCCGTCAATGTTCCCTCCTGAGCTTACCCGCAGATATACCCTCAACTTCAAGCCCCTCACACCCTCGGGGTCTAGCGCCGAGCGTGATTCCAAAGCCCTCGCCGTCCGTTATGTGCGCGGTGAACACCTAGGTAGCTTGATTACAGTCCGCGGCATCACCACCCGTGTCTCAGATGTCAAGCCGGCTGTACAGATCAACGCCTACACTTGCGATCGCTGTGGTTGCGAAGTGTTCCAGCCCATCACCACCAAGCAATTCCTCCCCCTGACCGAGTGTCTGTCTGAGGAATGTAAGAAGAACAACTCGAAGGGTCAACTCTTCCTGTCAACCCGTGCATCGAAGTTCGTTCCCTTCCAGGAGGTGAAGATCCAGGAAATGGCCGACCAAGTCCCCGTGGGCCACATTCCTCGCACTTTGACTGTACACTGTCACGGCGCTCTGACTCGCCAACTGAACCCCGGTGATGTTATCGACGTCGCAGGCATCTTTTTGCCCACTCCCTACACTGGTTTCCGGGCTATTCGCGCTGGTCTGCTGACTGACACATACTTGGAGGCCCAGCACATCACCCAGCACAAGAAGTCCTACAATGAGATGAGTATGGACTCCCGTACTCTTCACAAGATCGAGCAGCACATTAGTTCCGGTAACATGTATGAGTACCTTTCGCGGTCGATTGCACCCGAAATCTACGGACATCTTGATGTCAAGAAGGCATTGCTTTTGCTTCTGATTGGTGGTGTCACGAAAGAGATGGGTGACGGCATGCACATTCGTGGAGACATCAACATCTGCTTGATGGGTGACCCTGGTGTGGCCAAGTCCCAGCTTCTTCGATACATTACGAAAGTTGCTCCTCGTGGTGTGTACACCACCGGACGAGGAAGCAGTGGTGTCGGTCTCACTGCCGCAGTCATGAGAGATCCCGTCACAGACGAGATGGTGCTGGAGGGAGGTGCTCTTGTTCTTGCTGACAACGGCATCTGCTGTATTGATGAGTTCGACAAAATGGAGGACTCGGACCGGACAGCTATTCACGAAGTGATGGAGCAGCAGACTATTTCCATCTCCAAGGCCGGTATCACAACCACCCTCAACGCCCGTACTTCCATCCTGGCCGCGGCCAACCCGCTATATGGTCGCTACAACCCCCGGTTATCACCCGTAGAGAACATCAACCTTCCTGCCGCCTTACTCTCTCGTTTCGATGTCATGTTCCTGCTTCTAGATACCCCGTCCCGCGAGGGCGATGAGGAGCTGGCCCACCACGTCACCTACGTCCACATGCACAACAAGCACCCAGAGAGTGAAGAAGCCGGCGTGTTGTTCACTCCCCACGAGGTCCGGCAGTACGTTGCCAAGGCACGCACATTCCGTCCTATTGTGCCTACCAACGTTTCTGACTACATGGTTGGTGCTTATGTGGCCATGCGCAAGAGACAAAAGATCGACGAATCCAAGAAGAGACAGTTCTCTCACGTTAGCCCCCGTACTTTGCTCGGTATCGTTCGTCTTTCACAGGCACTTGCTCGTCTGCGCTTCAGCGAGGAGGTTATTCGCGGGGATGTCGATGAGGCTCTGCGTCTCATTGAGATCAGTAAGGCTTCTCTGTACAATGATGGCGAGCAGGGCGCCGACAACACCCCATCCAGCAAGATCTACAACTTGATCCGCAGCATGAAGGAGAGTGGCGCTGCTGCCGTTGGAGATGGTGAGGAAGGTGAGATGAGTATGAGACGTATTCGTGAGCGTGTTCTGGCCCGAGGCTTTACCGAGGATAACCTCACCATGACTATCGATGAATATGCTGAGATGAACGTAAGTTTTGATCACTCCAGGAGCTTACTGTGCTTTTTTACTAACAACATTCTCTACAGCTCTGGCAAGTCACTGGCAACGGCACACGTCTGCTCTTCACTGAGGTTGATGGCGACATGGACATGTAATTCTGAAAATCGCTCATTCTGTTTTTTGCTCTCTCGAATGTTGATCGGGCTTTGTATACGTGTTAAAGATGCATGTGAAACTGGCTGCAATCAAGGCGACAGGTGTTTGGGTGTATTGGGGAACTGGAGCTGGTTCTGGTTCTTATGATTTTGTAAGGTCAATTAAGAAGATCTTTCCAATCTACTTGTTTAATCTACATTTGCATCCATCTTAGTTTTTCACTAAAGCCATTTTTAATTAACTAGTTAAGAACTAACACATGTACACATGCAACCGGCCAGAATATCTCGCCACTAGCCCATATCTTCAGTGCCCTCTTCCCCCGCTACCAAAAACCCCACTCCTACCCCGGGCCATTATTCTAGGCCTCGCACTGGTGTTGAAGCTTGACCTCCTTGCAAAGATCGGAAGGAGCAGCATATACATCATCACATGGGGTGTTGCAAGCCGTGCCCTCAGGAACGAAAACAAGGAACTCATAGTTCGGCATCGGCAGGCGGAACTGATGGTGCAAGTCGTTATTGTGATGAGAGGCCTTATAACCAGCACGGCAAGCGCAGTGGAAAGATTTTCCCGTGTTGATACACGAGGTCGAGGGGTCACACCAATTCTCGCCTGAGACAGGATTGCAGGTGCCGCACTGGGCCCCTGGCGACGAGTCAGCGGTCACCAGGGAGGCGGCGGTGATAATCAAGGCGATGATGGAGAAATGCATCTTGGGGGATGGTTGAATTTGAGTATAGACTTAGAATAGATCTGGTGTGTTCTGTCTAGGGATTGGTTTATGATGGCGTTATCTTGTGCTGGGAGATTCACCATCTTATATAGTTGTCTCCAAGAATATACAAGTTTATGCGAATCATAGGGCTCGGTGGTCGGTTGTTGTGGAATATGTTATTCGCCATGTTTCCTGCGGAGGCCATCATTGTGTTGCATCACGAGGTCATTCTCGGCCTGGGTTTCCCAGTATACTTTGTAGGCTGGTCCACGAAAGAGACAATGCCCATATACGGTACCACGGTCGAATTATTGAAATGTCACCAGTTCAGTTTTGTAATCCTGTATAGACTCTCTATCTGACGTCCTATGATCGAATATGACGGGATGCGAAAACGATCGGGGTTGTGAATACGAGGTCTGGAACAATGCCTCAAAACACCATCAATGCTTATCAGCTAAGGTGATGTCAACTTCTTGGCTCAACATTGTCTTTGAAAAGCATGACTGAGACTGTCCAGGTTTTGAAATATCAATTCGGCGGAAGGTTTGAGGCGGGGTACATGTCTCAGGCCTATCCCTTTAGCCACGTTGGGATCTCGACGTCAACAGCCGTATAGAGATGTGGAGATTTTGACTTGCCAAGGTGGATGTCTCACATTGCTTGAAGATTTACGGTTACGAGCTGTTGCATTTCCTTTGATCTGGTCAGGCTTACGCAAGTACATTCCGCTTCTACGGGGCTTTGGAACATGACGAAAGCCAGGTGAAAGCAAGCAAGACGACAAAATTGAGCACTGGTTATTTGAGATTGAGGTAGGGGCTGTGATAGGCTGGTTTTGGTTTCTATTCACTCTGCATGCTATGGAGGGTAGGGGTTTAAGGTGCCCATGGAGACATATTTTCCATTGTTGGACCCGCTCAGAGCCAATACTCCGAGTCTGCGTAATGATATCGTGTTGTCGGTCGACCTTTATTGGCCAGTACTATAATATTCTCACCTAATAGTTGGTAATCGGAAACTGGTTTTAAGGCCCAAGCCTCAAGCATCAACACCGAACGACGAGGGTTGACCATGTTGATCAATGATTGTTAAACCCCGAGATTCACATACTATGTACGAGCTGTTTCTTTATTTCAGGCGAAATGCAAAGAAAGGTATCCTATGCCACCATATAACACCACGGACAAGTCAGTGCGGTTGAGATTGCAATGTCGGAGGCGGATTTTGAAGTATGAAATGCAGGGTTCAAGACTCTTCTTTTGATAACTGTAGACACCTTCGGAGAACCATCATCAAAGAGGACGAGAATATGTTTAATTGGCTTGGGTTTACGTGCAGGCCAGATATATGAAAATATTCTCCGGTGCATTCAACAGCTGCACTGTCTTTCTCGTAAATAGATACATGGCTATGAACCTTGGACATGGAAGCCTAGAGGTGCGTCTTAGATCCATCCGGCTCTCCAATCAGTCTCAAAAACGCCCCGTGAACCTCATCTGTCAAATCGCTGGCCTGCATGCTCCGCCCCTTGGTCGCAAAGGCTCGTCGCGAGCACTCTCGTGTAATGCTACTTCCCGCCCAAGCCGCCAATAGCAGAGTCGTTGTGGGGGACATGCGCTTGTTCTCAGAATCGAGCTCTGCCTGAACATCTTCCTTGCTCTGCGCTTCTTTCTCATTGTCCTGCTCGCCAGAGTCCCATAATTTGTCATGGTAAGCGGCTCGCCAGGCAAGGAATGTGCCCAATGATCCGGTTAGAGTGTCTCCTTGACCGCCGCTGCGCTTCAAGCCACCCTTGCCATCAGAGATGATACTAGTAACCCCGTTGGAGATGACATCTTGAGGGCCCTTTTGGAGAATCGTGACGCCGCCGAGGGCTTGAGATAGCTGTTCGCACGCATCTGATGCTTTGCTGGTAGTGTCGCCATTTCCGCCTTCCGCAATCTCCACTTGGCTGGCGACCTTGACACCCAGCGCTTTGGCTAGACGGCCAAACTCTACCACGTTTGGTGTGAGAATGCACTCCTTATAGCCTTTGACCAGGCTCGGGTCTTGCGTCACAATCAGCAGTCCATCTGCATCCAGCACAAATGGGATCGATCGTGACCGTGCCTCTCTGATCACTTCGGCGACTACCTTTAGCGTCACGCCGTCGCGACCGAGACCAGGTCCTATCACAAGTGCATGGAGACGAGATAGCATCGCGATGATCGGACCTGCCAGTGATGGTGCATCGATTGAATTGGGATCTTTAACAGTGTCGCTGCTTGGAAGCAATGGGTGTACCATCAAATTGGGAGAGTATCCCTTGATAACCTGTGCATTACAATTTTAGAGTGGATTCAATCTAGGCCGGATGTTAGCTTACTGGTGCTGCGGATCGTTCGCAGAGTACGTGGCTCTGGCGGTTGTTAGTCGTTTCCACAAGATATGTCATCTTTCACCCATACCATATCACATCCTACAATTCTAGAGTCAACATATTTGACTGAGAGCATGGGTCTGTTCAGGGCACGTACCAAGTCTTGCAGAAGCCATAGCTGAAAAATAAGGAGCTCCGGTGTAGCTTATGCCGGTTAGTAGGATACCAATGTCAACCAGGCAGAGGACCTACTCAACGCAGCCTCCGATCACGGCTACACGGCCGAGCTGTCCTAAACTAATAGTCAGCGGGGATGTTCATTTCGTGGCAGATGGGGACCTAATCAACAAACCTTTGTGGAACTTTTCAAGCATTGGAGGTACAATCTTGCGCACCTTGCTGAAGAGAATCTTAGATGAGACCGAGACATGATGAACGGACTCCATTTTCAAATTGCGAAATTGTGAATATGTGAAATTCTAGAAGATAAATTTCAAGGTTATGCCACAGGGCTGGAGGTGAAACACGGGTGATGTCACCTGCCAAGTGGGGCCTAGATGGCTTGTTTGAAGTTGTGATATCAAGTCGATGACTTAAGATGAAATGTTGACTACAATATACACATAGAAAGATGGTACAAAAAAAAAGAAAGTTGATATTGAAATAGCGCTCGCTATTGATGGTGCTTCAAAGCAAAAAAAAAAAATTGGAGGCATCCCCGTCTATGGACACCCCGAACGCTCATAAATGCGGAGTAAATATGTAGTCCTACCCAAAACAAAAGAGATCATGGAAACTGGTCACAAGTTAAAAAAGTGAAAATTTGACAGTATAAAAATGTCCAAACTTCAACGCTTGCTCCTGGAAGCAAGAGCGGCCAACTTCCGCTGGCGCTCCAACTTCTCTTTCTTAGCCGCCATTTCTGCTCGCAGCTCTTTCTCGTCCTCCCGTTTGGCGAATTCCAATGCAGCCGCCTCTTCGCGGTCCACATCGTCTATTCCAGCCTCCATGTCTGACGATGCATCGGAATAGTAATCATCGTAGCCACCGAAGTCGCCCTCATCTTCTTCGTCAGTTCCGAGATATTCGTTCTGTCGAGAATTGCGAGACTGGTGTCGACGGTCACTTCCACCACGGTTTGACGGCAGGCCCGCAGTTCCACGGTAGGTAAGCGGCTCAGGAGTCTGCGTTGGTTTGGCCGTGCCCTTATATGAGGGCCCCTCGGAATCGCGCTGCCGGACAGCAGGTTTACCCTTGGCAGAAACACCCGACCCAGCCTTCCTTCCCGAGCGCGCTTCTTTTTCTTTGGCCTGGAGTTCCATCATGCGCCGCTTGCGCTCCACTTTGGTAAGTCTTTCTTTGGGACCAGCTTGGTGTCGTAGCAAGCCTACTCCCACAGGCGCGGTCTCTTGCTTAGCCTTTGCCTGCGCCATGATCTCCGCAAATGATCCCTTTGGTGGCGGTTTCGAGGCTGTCGCAGCGCCTGCCGCTGTGGGTTTGGGGGCGGGCTCTTTCCGTGAGGGTGCCACTTTGGGGGCCGCAGCCAAGCTGGGTTTGGGAGTTGGCTTAGGCATAGTTGGCCTAGAGGTGGTGGTCGAGACTGGTTTGGATACAACTCTGGGTGGTGCTGATGATACCGCTGGCCTTGTAGCGAGCGTAGGCTTCATTGCAGCCGGGTTGTTTGTCGCCTTGCTTTCAGGTTTTGGTGGGCGAGGTAGCTGGTCCTCAGCTTTGCGCTTGATCCCTCCACTGACATTTCCACTGGTCGGAGGCGCCCGTCGCACAGCTGTCGGTTTTTGATCCTCTTTTTTAGGGATCGAAGCAGGCGCAGGTGAGGTAGGCGCCTGGGAGAGTGGGGATTGTGAGGGTTTACCCGTCTGGAGAGACGAGAGGACAGAATCGAGGAACTATGCTATGTCAGTCAAAATGAGGTGAAACGAACAGAAGGGTCAGGTAGCATACACTCATTTTGATTGCAGGAATAACCCGAAGGGTGTGAACTCGAAGAGTGGTACAGAAAAGAAGTCGCTCACCGTCGATATTTGGTACGACTAAGTAACTTCATGACTCCGAGCCCGATAGCATGAGAATAGATCTCTGGCTTGGCTCGCTCCGGATTTTCTGTTATTCCAATATAACAGAACTAGCAGAAGTAAAGGACACGCCTGACTTGGCCCAAGAGCTTTCTAAGTGAGAGGTATATACTCCGTAGACGAGTAGGGAAAGTAGACAGGTTTCTGGCCAGCATGCAATTATCAAGGCCGGACATGAAAATGTCACGTGATAGCAGATACACTGCGCCACAGCACTCGCTTAGAAGTCCCGCCCACACTAGCCACACCCACTCGCACCACCTTTTTTCAAGATTTTGAGCGCTCGGTTAATCCTTCGTCAACCAACCTCTTCCACCAGAACTCGACGTTGCAGTCTCCGCCCAATTCGCGGTTAAATCGATTGTTTCTCTTGTTCAGATAATAATCACAAACGGTATGTACATCTCGTTTTCGAGCCTCTCAACCGATTTTACGGCTTGAGAAGTGCGATCGCACTCGATCTTGAATTCGCGATACTAATGAAGATTTTTTTTGTCTAGTCCTTTCAAAATGAAGTATCTCGCTGCTTACCTCCTCCTCGCCCTTGCCGGCAACGAGGCCCCTGCCTCCGCCGACATCAAGTCCGTCCTCTCCTCCGTCGGTATCGACGCTGAGGGTGACCGTCTCGAGAAGGTCATCGCCGAGCTCCAGGGCAAGGACCTCCAGGAGGTTAGTGACACTCGCACGCGCATACATCCGACTTGAACTGCATACTAACTCTTTACATAGCTGATCTCCGAGGGCTCTGCCAAGCTCGCTTCCGTCCCCTCCGGCGGTGCTGGTGCCGCTGCCCCTGCCGCTGCCGCTGCCGGTGGTGACGCCGCTCCCGCTGAGGAGAAGGCCGAGGAGAAGGAGGAGGAGTCCGATGAGGATATGGGCTTCGGTCTCTTCGACTAAGCGCTTTAATCCAAGGCCTAAAAATTATGGTTCTGGGGAACAGATGTTTGGTTGGTTCGTCAGTCCGGGCAAGATTTGCGCCGGTTGGCTTCTCAAGTGTGTTGTGTTGAGACTGTTTTGATACAGTTGCGACTTTTTCATATAAGCTGGAATAAGCTTATAGTCAATACAATTCATCTGGCCTTGACTTGTTGCATTTTTCTCAATACGTATGTGTAGTTGTTGGAAGGATCGCCGGGACCCGCTCAGCGTTTCAGCAGTAGCGTGTAGTCAAATTCTCTTGGAGAACTAGAGATTCAATCATCCACGTCATGGTAACTGTGTAGGTGTATTCGGATTGTACCCTGATAAGGACCATCAATAACCTTCCATTCTGATACGACATGCATGTCAGCCCTGGGAGGGGAAGGTGAGTAATTGTAATACAAATAAATTACACTGCTGGGTACAAGCATTTTTAATGAATCCCCCAAGTAAAATCGAGTAAGTAAAGATTACAAAGAATTTGATTACGAAATGAAAACCATGGTTTCAAAATAGATTACATATGACCCAAAGGGGTATAGTGTCTAGGGCTTGGAACCTACCCGTCGCTTAACGAGTGCTGCCCACCTCCTAGAGCCTGTGTGTTAGCAGCCCGACCGCTCAGCGACACGACAATTTCCGACAACCCATCTTCCTTCGCTTTTCGAGATACGGTCGAAAGGCGGTTTATAGGAATATCTGCAAAAATGGCTGACATCGAATACGTGAGTTTTTTTGCCTTCACCCTTCAAGCCCGTGCGATACACTAACATGAGTTTTCATTTAGAACGCCGAGGAGGCTGCCGGTACGTTATGAACAATCAACCCCATCCCTACCCATCGCCCTTGGACAGAAGAATCGAATGAGAGGAGAAGGCGCGCATTACAATCGACTATACGACGATCAGTGAAGAAATATACGTTGGCGGGGAACGACATGGACCCGGGATGCAGGGAGACACGCACAACAACAAGATCGCAGACGCTGACTGAACATTCGCCGAACAGAGATCAAGAAGAGAAGACAGTTCCGCAAGTTCTCTTACCGCGGCATTGACCTCGACCAGTACGTTCCCATTACCAATCATCGAACCTTTGGACATCCATTCGCAGCCAGTGCCTCGTGAGACGGAATTTGAAGATGATCGTCTACCATGCCAACCACCATTATGGATGAACCGCATATGGCATTTCGGTTCTCGCCTCTTTGGCGCTGCGTTGCGAATGGACACCCAAGGACCGAAAATTTGCAAGGACATTGGTCTGACTGAATCCTTTTACAGGCTCCTCGACCTTTCCTCCGAGCAGCTCCGCGATGTCGTTCACGCCCGTGCCCGCAGACGTTTCAACCGCGGTCTGAAGCGCAAGCCCATGGGTCTCATCAAGAAGCTCCGCAAGGCCAAGCAGGAGGCCAAGCCCAACGAGAAGCCCGACCTCGTCAAGACCCACCTCCGTGACATGATCGTCGTCCCCGAGATGATCGGCTCCGTTGTCGGTATCTACTCCGGTAAGGAGTTCAACCAGGTTGAGATCAAGCCCGAGATGGTTGGCCACTACCTGGCTGAGTTCTCTATCTCTTAGTATGTGCTCCCGAGATTTGTTCCTCATGACCATTCAACCTCAGATCACTAACAACCTCCCAGCAAGCCCGTCAAGCACGGTCGTCCCGGTATCGGTGCCACCCACTCTTCCCGTTTCATTCCCCTCAAGTAAACGATTTCAAACGATTCCCCTCGGAGTGGCGTGTGGAGGAAATGGTGCTGGGAAAGCAAAAATGGAATTCAGCAAAACTCTCAACTGGGCTCTTTTTTTCAGCATGTATTTCCAGTGCGGGTCAGCTGTTTCCAACTCAATTTAAGATCTTGTCGGCATGAAATCATCTTGGGATCTGGATTTAGTCCCTCGTCGAATCTGGCGAGGTAAAAAAGATACTCCTTCCTCCGTCTCGCTTTGTGTCAACGGGGAAGGAGTCTAAATCTTAACGACACTACAAATTTCACTTCAGACACATCGGAGACCAGTAACCCCAAGGGGCATATTAGACCACACTAGTCAACCTCGTCTCATGGTGCCTGAATCTAGGTCATGAGATTCATTGAGACTACTCTGTCGTATTATTGTATTACATACTGTGAACTACTCCACACCTTGGACCTCCGCTACCTTTACTCTGGGGAAGCGGGATCGTGTCAATCAATTTATGAGCCACGTTTATTGAGCCTCATTTGCGTGTTTGAATGTAGATGGGAATAAAACTAGTGATGGATTGACAACACATACTTGAGTGCAATGTGTTATATGTATTCTATTTCTTCTATTTCTTCTATTTCTTCTATTTATTCACTATACAAAATACATATCCCAGGCTACAAATATATATTTCTGAGTGGCCCCTTGCAAAATGAGTCAGCCATTCCAGGTCGTTAGATTTATTGTACTCATTGCCTTGAAACCGTTTCATACTACTACATGGTATAAGATTACCTAACTTCAAGGTTTGGAGACCAATGTTTATCAAATTGTGAGGTTTCGATCTCCCTGCCTAGGCGGACATGGCGGGCATGACAGGCACGTTGTGATGTCAGATTGCTCCCCGCAATCCTGTGTTCACACTAGATCTTATACCCCGAGGTTCGCACATCAACGTTCCCTTTAAGATATCTTATAATTATATACATATTCCCTGCTTCTACTCGAAAATTTATCTTCATCCGGCATTCGGAGAAGTCGCTTATCGCCGCGGGGTCCGTTAAACCGAGATATCCGAGTGCCGATCTCAACCCAACTCAACCATCTCAACGGTTATACTACTTGAACCTCAACAGTGCAGATGATTGTTCGAAACATAGCATGCAGTACATATTATGAAATTGGATATTTCAATCTGCCTACCAAAAGTACAACAAATACCAAGCAGTTTTCAATCGGGGTGGGCCTGCCAGGATTCGAGCTTCGGCCCCAGCGGTAGTACTAATGTAGGGGACCGAGGCAAGCCGCGAGCCGAGATTGCGGAGAACCCCATATTTCTTTAAGTACTTCGTTGCTCGTGTGAATCTCTTTCGTTTTACATCTGACAGTCCATTTGAGCCTCAATCACATTCCCCAGATTCGGCTCCTTAGCATTATTTCCCCGCAATGCCCGTCCCCTCCAACTACCCCCTGGTCGACATCCCAGAAGTGGATCTCTGGACCTTTCTATTCGAGCGCAATGATAGAGCTTACCCAGATGACAAAAGTGCGTAACATCCAATCCTAATCCCAATACTGCGTTGAATACAGTACTTTCAACCTTTCTTTTTCTTCTCCCCACTAACCCCCCCACTAGTTATCTACCAAGACGCCGATACCCAACGTTATTACACATACAAATCGCTACGCGATGCCTCCCTAGATTTCGGCAAGGGCCTGAAAGCCCTGTATGAGTGGCGCAAGGGCGATGTTCTCGCCCTCTTCACACCAAACAGCATCGACACACCCGTCGTGATGTGGGGCACACTCTGGGCCGGCGGAATCATCTCGCCTGCGAACCCAGGTTACACGGTTGATGAGCTGGCCTTCCAGCTCAAGAACTCCCATGCCAAGGGACTTGTAACGCAAGCCTCGGTGCTGCCTGTTGCGCGGGAAGCTGCGAAGAAAGTCGGCATGCCTGAGGACCGCATTATTCTCATTGGAGACCAGCGGGACCCCGATGCGCGGGTCAAGCATTTCACCTCTGTGCGCAATATCTCCGGTGCTACACGCTACCGTAAGCAGAAGGTCACTCCTGCGAAGGATGTCGCGTTTTTGGTTTATTCGTCTGGGACGACGGGTGTGCCTAAGGGTGTCATGTTGTCGCACCGGAACATCGTTGCCAATATTCGACAGCAATTTATTGGTGAGGGTGGGATGTTGAGTTGGAATGGTGGTCCTGATGGGAAGGGTGATCGGGTCCTGGCATTCTTGCCTTTCTATCATATCTATGGTATGGATTTCAATTGCGCGGATGATTGGGTGAATAAAATACTAACTACGAGCCTTTAGGATTGACCTGTTTAATTACCCAGGCTTTATACAAGGGCTACCACTTGATCGTCATGTCAAAATTCGACATTGAAAAGTGGTGCGCCCACGTCCAGAACTACCGCTGTTCGTTCAGTTACATCGTCCCTCCTGTGGTGCTCTTGCTGGGCAAGCACCCGGTGGTCGATAAATACGACCTTTCAAGTCTTCGCATGATGAACTCCGGCGCTGCTCCGCTCACCCAAGAGCTGGTAGACGCAGTCTACTCCCGCATCAAGGTTGGTATCAAGCAGGGCTACGGACTTAGCGAGACTAGCCCAACTACACACTCCCAGCGATGGGAGGACTGGCGCGTGGCCATGGGTTCTGTTGGCCGCTTGATGCCTAATATGCAAGCCAAGTACATGACTATGCCTGAGGACGGATCCGAGCCTAAGGAGGTTGCCGTGGGCGAGGTTGGCGAATTGTACCTGAGTGGACCCAACGTTTTCCTGGGCTATCACGAGAACCCAGAGGCTACCAAGGGCTGTTTGTCTGAGGACGGATGGTTCCAGACTGGTGACGTTGGGTATCAGGACGCCAAGGGCAATTTCTACATTACCGATCGTGTCAAGGAACTCATTAAGTATAAGGGCTTCCAGGTGCCTCCTGCTGAACTGGAAGGATATCTGGTTGACAACGATGCTATTGATGATGTTGCTGTAATTGGTATTGAGAGCGAGGCACACGGTTCCGAGGTTCCTATGGCTTGCGTCGTTCGCAGCGCGAAGAGCAAGTCTTCCGGAATAAGTGCGAAGGATGAAGCAGAAAGCATTATCAACTGGCTGAATAGCAAGGTTGCCAGCCACAAGCGTCTGCGGGGTGGTGTACAGTTTGTGGATGAGATCCCCAAGAACCCCAGTGGCAAGATCCTGCGTCGGATTTTGAAGCAGAAGTTCAAGGGTGCGGCCGAGGCACCCAAAGCCAAGCTATAAATGGCACACAATATACACTTTAGATCCGTTCATGTCATATTCATTTTCACATTCACGTCCATTTTTATACTTGAAAGATGTAAGATCCGAAAAGCCAACCCCAAGCCCTTCTCTAGTAATTAAACCTAGAGCTTCAACCACGGCCACAATAACCCTTTAAGGAAAGAACCTCTTAACCATACCCTCAACGTCCTCCCCAACAACAGCATCAACCTTCTCCCTCGCAACCCTCTCAACTGCCTCCTCAACCTCCTCCTCCCCATTAACAAGATCAATCCACCCCTCCGTATCAGCCCTCGAAAGCAAAAGATCCGCCACAATCGCTACATCCTCTCTCGTAACACTCCCCCGACCCTTAGGCGTGATTCCCAGCTCGACCTTCCGTGTCGCAGGCTGGTCAGTCAAAATCCCAGGCCGCAGATTAATAGCCTGGAAAGGCCGGGCTGGTCCAGCCTCGCGCTTTCGCTGCACAGCCAGCGCAGTCATGTACTCGTCGGCTTCTTGCTTGGCTTGAGCGTATGTCGGAAGTACTTCCGTGTTCACCTTTACTAGGCCCGCCCATTCGTCGTCGGGCATCCAGCTTGGCTGCTTGCGTCGACTGCCGAGGTATGACACCATGAGGAATTTGCTTACGCCTGGGGAGGCGAAGGATGCTGTCATGAAGTGCTTTGCGGCTTCCTGGTCGATTGCGATTGTGCGTGCTGCGCCGCCTTTGCCGCCCGCACCTGAGTTTGTGTGTCAGTTTGTAGTTTGGGAATTCTGGACTTTATATCGTGGGTTATAGAGGTATATATGGTTTCACGATCTTTCTTGCTTGGGGGATGGCTTGTATCGGGTGTCGATGATACTGAATCTAAGTGCGGGGTGAGGGGTGAGGGGTGCCATACCAGCCGACCAGACGATATAGTCCGGCGTAACCGTGTCGATTATTTTCTGGGCGTCTGAGGGACTCTTCACATCCTCTAGACTCGAGAGTAGCACGTTGAGGGTACCCTTGAGGCCCTGGCCCAGGGCTAGAATCTCGCTTTCGTGCGCGGGGTTGCGGATGACGCTGGTTACACTCCAGGCCCGTTTGAGGAGGAGCGGAGTGAGGTGGAGGGCGACTTTGCCGTGACCGCCGAGTAGAAGGACATGCATTTTTGGATGTAATTTGGATGAGTTTTTGTATGTGTATGAGAGTAAATGTGTGATTGTTGGTTGATTGGGGACCTCAGGGAAAGAACTCGTTGCGTCATCGCAATTCTTTCCAAACGGTGAGCTTGGCGTTGATTTATAATTGAGAAGATACTCCAGGGCTTACATAAATGTATCAGATTTGTTGATAGAAATTGATAGATCCATTTGAATATAGGAGTAAATCACGCTAATCTCAGGTATGTTTTACAGTTTTAGAGTAGAGTTATAAGCCAATATTAAGAAGGTTGAAAACCATTCATTTTAAATCCATCTATAGACGGCTATATATAAGTACAATTATGTTGAAAATAACAATGCGACTAGCATCTATTTCACCTGGCTATTCCTTAGGTCATCCAGTCAAATCTTTTCTTGAAGATAACCCAGTCTCTGCCCTGCTGGTGTCATGCTGTTTATTGATCACCATTTGATCGCTGGCAATCTAGCAAGAAGCGCCGGAAGGCACACCAGAGCACTTGCTGCTCTTCTTACCACCAGTGACGGAGTTTCCAGTCCAGGTCCAGTTCTTGCAGCTACCGTTACCGCAGAGAATGTAGACGTCAGTACCGCTGCTCTTAACGGTACCGGTAACCTTCTCAACCTTGAGGCCAGTAATGGGGACACCGGTGGTGGGCTTGCCGGTAGGGCTGCCGTTCTGGTAATCCTGCTCGATGACGATACCGTACTTGGCGATGTTGGACAGCTTGATGTTGGAGAAAGTGACGTCGGAGACGGCACCGGTAGCCTTGTAGATGGTCTTGACGCGGACACCGTTGTCGGAGTTGACGACACTGGAGTCAGAGATGGTGACATCCTTCACGATGTTGTTGTCGCGCAGACCAACGGAACCGATGGAGATACCGTGGCCACCGGAGCAGGTGCCACCGGTGAAGGTGATGTGCTGGAGGACAAGGGTTAGTTAATGCCAAATATTTTTAATAGGAGTGTCTTTGACTTACCTCGCCAGAGTTGATAGCCAGGCAGTCGTCCTGGTTCTTGATGTTGGCGTTGCTGATGGTGATGTAGGTACTGGAGCCAACATCGAAGGCATCGGTGTTGTGGCCACCCTTGGAGTCACCCTCGCTGTTGTCGATGGTGATGTGGTCGAGGACCAGGTGGTCGGCCTGGACACTGAAACCCTGGACGGGGGTGTTCTTGACGTTAAGGCCGGAGATGTTCGAGTTGTCCAAGCCGTGGGCGTAGAAGAACTTGGGCTTCTTCTTTCCGCCGTTGGTTCCCTTTCCGTCCCACCAGCTGGGGCCGCCACCGTTGATGACATGGCCGGATGCACCGGAGACGTTAATGTTATCTCCAGAGAAGCGGATGAGGGGACCGGTCCACTCCTTGTATCCGAAGGTGGTTTCGCCCTTGAAGATGACCTATACAGTAGCTATTAGAACTTTGATTCTTGGCGCTTGAATAACGGAATAATCTACCTTAGTGCCGCTCTTCAGCTTGGAAAGGTCGAGGGTCTCGCCGGCGGGGACCTTGATGTTGTCCAGCACAATGGTGGAGCAGGAGGACTTGCCAGCCTTGGCGGCAGCGGCCGAGGTGAAGGTACAGCTGGAGGAGCCGCGCTCAACGAGATCGGTAACGGGGGCGGAAGCCGGGGCACCGGACACAGCGGCGGCGCCGAGGGCCAGCATGGTAACGAAAGAAGTACGCATTTTGAAGTAGGTGTCCGATCAACAGACAATTAAAGAGAGTGTAGATGTTCCGGACTAGCCGACCTGAGTGTAATAGGAAATGAGGAATGAATGAATGAATGAATGAATGAATGAATGAGTTTGAACAAGCTATTCCACCGAGCTTGGCCTTGGTATTTAAATGCTTGGTCCGCCAAGCATCCTCCTTATAGATCCTACGCTAGTATCTCTATGAAACGGGACTACCGCCATCTGTCATGGCGTTAACCCCTGTTCTTAGTTGGACCCCTCATTGGAAAATCATAAGATCCAGGGATGCATGGATAATTGTTAGATGCTCCATTGGATTAATCTACTAGGGCCAGCTACATGGTCAGCTACACCCGACTGGGCAACTCTCCGAAACATTTAACTCCACCTAGTCTAGAATCCCTGCTAAAATGGACCATTGCTGGGATAATTAATACGCGGAATATCTTCGGGTTAAAAGCCGAGACATATCTAGTTATTATCCAATAAGAACATGGCATTGATGCCTGAAGACTATATTATACCTCCACTATCGCAAACCATGTGGAGCCCTATCGAGCTTGTGTTTCACGCCAAGCACTTGATTTGAAGAATTTACCGATGTAGGGCTGGTTCCACACGAAATACTCCGTATGTGAAGAGACCCCTTCCAAAAGATTCTGTGGCGCTGAAACAATGCACCCTTTTATTTACCATGTCTTTTGTTTGATTGGTGCCCTGTCTAGATATTCAGGCACGAGGCAAGAATACACTGTAGACAAGGCCGGTTAGTTATGTTGCCGACTATTTCTGTGCTGATAAATCATATTTAGGAGCTACAAAGGTACAAAGGTACCTACTTCCGAGAGAGCCGTAACTATGGAGTACTACATGAAGTTATCCACCGACATGTGTGGTTACCTACCTAGGTACCCATAATTGCAGATAATCATGCAGACACCTCCTATTCAAGTACACCGCACTTACTCCGTAGTTCTGGGCGTAATTTCCCTGACGCTCCTCTTCTTTTTTTCGTTGAGAGCGACGAGATAACGTTGCAATGGTCGAGTTGATCCTAATGCAGTAGGCCCAAACAAAGATTCTCTGCTTTAGGCTCAGTACAACTCACCGCTGTAATTTAGTTGAGCAAAACTGTAATATGGGCTGTTCCTTCAAACGGAAATCCTGCGGATTCGAAGGTCGTGCTGCAACCTGGAATATATTGCTTCTAGCTGCCAAGAACCCAGTATGGACGCCAGGAGGTTGCTAAACAATATACTTCGTAGCCCATAGGAGTAGTAACTTGATCTTTTTTATCTGACACGCACTATTTGTGAGTAATGTTAATAGGTTTTTTCATCGCACTTTAATTGTTTTCATTTGAGCTCCTCGGAATAGATTCGACAGGTGCGGCAAAAATTTCCGTGGTACAGCCAGAATAGTATACTATGAGATAATAAAAAATTGCCTAGAAACTACAGCCATTTTACTCGCCAATTTATCTTACGATCAATTGTCATGATGGGCTCGGATTGCTCGAGGGCACATCGGAGTCATAAGCATACAACAAGGAAAGGTGTTGATCACTACGAATATCCATATATATATAGGTATCAACCGTCATCAGCTTGACATCATCGCCAGTCACCAATTAGTTTATAGGAATTTTACGTCATTCTTTGCTCTTCGTATGCTCTTCGTAAGAGCTCCTATACTTTTAAATATCTAGTTTGATGATAGATGATGAATAGCAATGATGACCACAGCGTTGAATATATCAAGCCACCATACTAGAGCATCTCGAATACACGATGATCAGGTCAATCCAGGCTGCTCAGCACTTGGATTCGCGGGGACAACCAACTTTTCAAGTTGATCTCACAACGGACAAAGGTAAGAGAGCGCCGACGATAACCAAATTCGCTTCTTACACCGCTGCAGGTACTTTCCGAGCCACCGTCCCTTCTGGTGCGTCTACAGGTGCGAATGAAGCCACTGAGCTACGGGACAAGCATAGTTCAGCATACGGTAGCAAAGGTGTCCAGAAAGCAGTTTCGAACATTGAACTGGTTATTGGTCCTGCCCTGGTACAGAGCGGGCTCAAGGTCGACACACACCAGAAATGATCGATTGTTTTCTGAATAATCTAGATGGTACGCATAACAAGTCGAAGCTTGGGGCGAATGCTATTCTGGGCGTCAGTATGGCATGTGCTAGAGCGGGTGCAGCCATTTGGTAAGTCAGAAATCGAGACCAACGATGGAAATCTATGAGCTGATATATATCTAGGACATTCCGTTGTATGAGTTTCTTCGACGTGAGTCTGGAGCAAAAAAGCCATTCGTGATGCCTGTGCCGTTCTTCAATGTCCTGAATGGAGGCGTGCATTCGGGCAATAGGATGGCCTTTCAAGAGACGATGATCGCTCCTGTCGGAGCCTCCTCTTTCACGGAAGCAGTACATATGGGTAGCGAGGTTTACCAGCAAAGAAGAAGGCCATTGTTAAGAAATTTGGACCATCTGGTTAGTGTATCTTTCACCGTACCGTATATAGCCATTACTGATAAGTGCATTCAAGCTACCGGCGTTGGGGACGAAGGGGTATTTGCACCACCGATTTCCCAGCCTCATGAGGCACTAGACCTCCTGGTTGAAGCCGTTTCTCTTGCTGGATATACGGGTTAGATCAAATTCGCGATTGATTCTGCATCTAGCGAATTCTTCAGGGATGGGAACTACGACATTGGGTTCAAAGACGACAGACCGAACTTGCAAAACCCAAAACAGCTTGCAGAGTTATATCGCACATTGTTGCAAAATTATCCCATAGTTCTACTGAAAGATCCATTTGCCGAAACTGATTGGGACAGTTGGATCGAATTCAACAAAAATTGTCCAGTCGAACTGGTTGGGGATGACTTGCTGGTCACGAATACGAAATACGTGCAAGAGGCCAATGATAAGAGAGCTTGTAATTCTATGCTACTCAAAATCAACCAAATAGGCACTATCTCCGAAGCAATTGAGGCGTTAGTTTCTCTTAGGTTTGCCCCCTATTAATCTGGAAACAATATCCTAATTATATATTCATATAGGGCGAACTTGGCATACAGTTTTGACTGGAGTATTTTCGTATCCCACCGGTCCGGTGAGACCACCGATGATTTTATTGCAGATTTGGTCGTGGGCTTAAGGACCGGTCATATTAAACCTGGGGCACCTTGCAGGGGTGAGAGAGTGGCCAAGGATAATCGGCTGATGGAGATTGAGGCGGAAATTTTGACTGGGGAAGAATGCATTTATGCTGGTTCCCAATTCAGGGTGGCATCTAAATATTGAGATTGTATTCTATTGAGAATATATATACAATATGTTGCATATTCAAGAAAAATATCTCTAACATATATGTTGTATATATCCTTTCAACTCCCAAAGACCATGAGATCATATGTTGTCGAGAATTGCCGAGGTCGGGCTACTCCGCGCCTACTCCCCTTCTCCCCCGGACTTCACCTGGGCAGTTATGCTCTAACTACGCATCAACAACAACCCCAAACATGTCCGCCCCGGACAAACCTCCAGTTCCAGGGGATGCGCTGGATCTTCCACCTCGCGCCTTACGCGACGTTCTCCGCGTTTGTCTAAGCGCTAAAGAGTACCGATTCCTCCACGAATCAGTGATCAAACGAACCCCTGCCGTCCAAAACAAGCTCCCATCTCCATCTCGCTACGATGCCATCGCTCGTCCAAAGAATCGACACAGTGAAGCCGCTATTCGCTCATCGCTGCGAGTATTTGTCGGCTCCGGGATTGCGTTGAAGTTGGCAGATCTGTTGATTACTCGGTTCCAAGGCGCTCCACAGTAAGACCAATTTAATCTACCAAGAGCCTCTCCTCTTTTAGAAACATGCACTAACACTGCTTCTAATTAACAGGAAAAAGACCCGAACCCCCTCCTCCGGTCTCCCAAATTCCGTCTCTCCATCTCTCTCTCCCTCCTCCTTCTCATCCATCGCCTTCTCTACCGTTTCCTCATCCGACTGCGAGCCAACCTCCGTACCGATGATGCAAAGCCGTTCAGAGAGCGCAACCCGCGCATCTCGCGGGCGCTGACCTCGCGCTTTGCGCCAGCGATCGGTGCAAGTTTGGCGGGGTTCGCCCTCGGCATCTGTCCGCAGGATCAGCTCCGGCTGACCGCGGCGATTTACACAGGCACCAGGAGTTTGGAATTCTTGTTTAATGTCCTAGACTCTAAAGGCTGGTTGGACAAGCGCCCGTGGTGGTTCGGCAGCTGGCTGTTGATGCCCATCTCATTTGCGCAGCTCTTCCATGCCTTTGTGTTCGATCGCGAGACTACACCTAATGTTTGTGGTCGGGATTTTTCTTACACTTGAGTTACGGTCGCTAATTTGATGCCATAGTGGTTTGGAAATGTCATTCTCAAGCTGTCGCCGAGTTACATCCAAGGCCGACCGGAGTCGCTCCCGGTCGACATCAGCTGGCCCGAGAAGGAAGAGATTGTGAACTCTCTTGCCTCTATTGCTGATCTCCGCTGGCCGTATGTTTGAAGCTGAGTCTGTCAAAGAGTATAGCGGTCGCTAATATGATGCAGGGCATTCGTCTCTCCAATTCTACACCCGGGCGATCCCAACACCTTACCGTCATCAGTGGCTTCCATCTCTCCAATCACTGGACCAGCACACCCTGCAATTTCGAGTCTATCATGCGCTCTCTTGCACCCGAATCTCCCGAACTGTAGCACGGCATTCTTGCATCACATTCTCCTGTCCGTGCCGCCGCTTGCGCGGTTCCTCACGACCGTCACTCTGGCACTTTCGATCCCCAAATTTAAGAGCATTCTGCTTCAGCCTATTTCATCAGTGAATACTATGTCGAAGCGCATTATCACCATGACAGCGGTCCTCTCTGCTGCGATTGGATCAGCCTGGGGTAGTGTCTGTCTCCTGAACAACAACTTGCCCCGAACAACGCTTCCTACCAAGCGGTTCTTCCTCAGTGGAGCACTGGGAGGTTTGCCATTTTTGTTCTTGGGCAATAGCCGTAGCACATTCCTCTGGTTCTTCCGGGCCGCCGTTGATTCAGCATACAAGACTGGGGTCAAGCGTGGACTATGGAAGGGCCGAAAGGGCGGTGAACTACTGTTGTTTGTTCTGTCCTGGGCGCTTATGGGGTCGATTCTTGAGGGGAACCCCGAGGCCGTGCAGGGCGGTGGACTTCGTAAGGCTCTGACCTGGATGAGGGGCGATGGATTTGGAGATCCAGTGGATATTGCTAAACGCAAACTGCGACGGGAATCGAAGAAACCCGACGGAGTATGAAATTTAGTATGAATTAACTAGTTAATAGCCTGATATTTTGGAGTTGATCGGTGTGGAATTCACTTTCCGACCCCACGTTTGCGGAGAAGATCTTCGGAGACTGGCCTCCGCATTTAGTTCCCCGGGCACTTTATAACTTCCAGCTTAGTTTTCAACATTCCCCCTTTTTTCTATTAGCAATTGACTTTGAGTTCTTGTTTTACTTGATATCCTTGATTTTTACATTCTATACACAATGACTGCTCAAAGATTGAAGATCGGCTGTGCTGGTCTCGGCCGTATGGGCAAGCGCCATGCACTAAACTTCCTGGAGCGTACTCCCCGAGCTGAGCTTGTGGCTGCCAGCTCCCCTGACCCCGTCGAACTCGAATGGGCCAAGATTCACCTCGAACCCTATGGTGTAACTCTGTACCAGAACTACGACGACATGCTGAAGCATGAAGGTCTGGTAGCCGTGGTGGTTGCATCGGCAACTGCAGTGCATGCCGAGCAAGCAATCAAGGCAATTGAAGCAGACAAGCACACTCTTTGCGAGAAGCCCATCTCTACAAGCCCCGAAGTGGTAAGTTGGTTATTTTATGAATCCATCTCAGCCCCAATCGTGTTTAGTCTACCAAATACCAAGAAACAAAAACATTGAAACCAAAAACTAACAATCCCCCTCTTTTTTAGTCTCAATCTGTGGTCGACGCAGCAGCCAAGAAGCCACACCTGAAAGTGATGTGCGGTTTCTCCCGCCGCTTCGACAAGTCCTACCGCGACGCCTACGAAAAGATGCAATCCGGCGCAATCGGCACCGCCTCCGTCCTCCGCAGCCAAACCTGCGACAAACTCGACCCAAGTGGATTCTTCGTCGCATACGCGGAGTTCTCTGGTGGAATCTTCGTCGACTGCTCCATCCACGACATCGACCTCACACTCTGGTTCTACGGCAACAACTGCAAGGTGAAGTCCGTATCAGCCGTCGGCAACACAGCCGTCGAGCCCGATCTCCGCAAACACAACGACCGCGACAACGCCGTCGGCTTGGTCGAGTTCTACGACGGCCGCATTGCATACTTCTATGCTTCCCGTATGATGGCTGCTGGTCAGGAGGATACTACGGAGATTATTGGTACCAAGGGAAAACTGGCGGTTAACACCCAGCCTGCCTTGAACCATGTTAATATTTATGATGAGTCCGGCATCAGGAGGGAGATTCCTCAGAACTACTATGATCGCTTCGAGTATGCGTTTGTTACAGAGGCGAATGAGTTCTCCGCTGCTTGTCTGGATAACACAGCGTTGCCGCTTGATCTGAATAATGCTGTTAAGGCTGTGAAGATTGGGGCTGCGTTGCAGGAGTCGTTGATTAGTGGGAAGAAGATCTTCTTCGACGAGGATGGAAACCGATCTGAGGTGGCTCGTCTGTGATTAATAAGTGCTTTGTCTTTGGGATTTCAAAATATACACTATACATATGTTCAATGTTGTTATAAATGCCCTTTTGCAAATGAGATGATAGATGACTTTTTAATATGGATGCAATCTTGTATTTCAGTTCAAGGTAGACTCATGTAACTCTGTAGTAGCACTGAAGGGAAATTGTTGAGATAAGTGCCTAGTAGGCAGTGGAGATTGGGTTGGATGCTTCATAGTCTACCTAGGCCAGTAGTCTAGGGTATTGGATAGTTCTGGGAGCTCATCTCTCTTTCTTCTCTATACTTTCGCCTTGTAGCCTCAACAATCTTATTTAAAACCTCAAGGTTCATTATGCGCATATAGGTAAGCGGGGTGTCCTATTCCAGTAGTATTGACTGGTGTTAGGGATATCTACTACCATTTATAATCCAGCGTAGTCATTGCAAGGTTTATTTTGTTAAGGGGGCCTGTAGAGATGTCGAGATACATGGTGTGATGTGAGGTTATTGAAGAGTCAAGAAAGCCAAGTGCTAGAGACTATGAAACTCAACAGCTTTCCGGCGTATAAACCGATGCGTTGAAGAATTGATTACTTTGGTCTCTATCAGTCCAATTTCTGGATTTCATTGCCTGGAAAGATTTCAAGGTTGGAAAAAGTAGGATTTTTAACGCTAATTGAATGTGACCGCACATATCGTGACTATTTCGTGGCTATTTCCATGGAACTGAAAAAGTAAAAAAAGGGGAATCATGAAGAAAAGTGTGTAGAATAAAGATGCATAGAGAGCAAGTCGCAGATCTACCACTTCAGGACCTTGGTGGGGAAGTACTCGTCAATGAGCTCCAGGTAGTAGGGCTAGAAAGAAATAAGTCAGCTTCAAATTCACAGGTCATCAGCAGAAGCAAAAAGAAAAACATACCTTCAACTCCTCAACACTGGGAATTCCATCACTCTTGCTGTACAGGTCATAAGGATTGAAAGCCTTAACAGCACGCAGCATATCACGGTCGTGGTCATTCATCAACTCATGGTACGCACCGGCGCTGTGCCAAGGGTAGAAAGAGTGATAGCGGATCATAGCGAGCGCCTCATCGGGAAGAGTCGACTGCTCCTTAGCGAGGTGGTACAGGTACTCATCGTGGCCCCAGGAGAGCATGACATTATCGAGACCACAGCCGGGTGTGTAGATACCAAACTTAGTATCGTAAATCTTGTGGCCGAAGTCCTCGTTCTCGCGGAACGAGTCACGGCCGTAAACGATCTTGTCGTCGAAGGCACAGCCGACGGGGAAGGTGTCTCCGACAACATCCCATTGGCCTTCGGCATCGAAGAAGAAGAGGAGCTTGCCCAGATCGTGGATCAGACCGGTAAGCTGCATCCAGCGGGGCTTGCCGTCACGGCGAATGGCCTCGGCGGACTGGAGCAGGTGCTCGATCTGGGAAAGGCTGGTGTCGGGATCAGACTCGTCGATCAGGGTGTTAAGTTTCTCCATGGCTTCCCAGACGGTCATCTCGGCGCGAGTCTTGCTGTGGAAGTCGTGGCGGGCCTTCAGGTTGTATGCGACGGTCTGCTTGGTGTGCTGTTCCTGGTAGAAGTTCTTGACTCGGTCGCTGGCGTCCTCGTACTGGCGGAAATTGGTCTTGTCCTTCTCCTTGTCGAACTCAGACTCTTCGTATAGACCCTTCTCTTCGGCCTCTTTCTTTTCAATCTCGCGCTTCTTCATGTCCTTAAGAACGTTGATCTCGTCAATAGCGTCGGAGAGCTCTTCGAGAGCCTGGCCGTCCCGCTTCTTGAAGACAGGGGAGGCCTGTGGGGAGACGGCGACTGGTGCCATTTTGACTGTGTGCGAGATGTAGTGTCCTTTGATTCTTATAGAATTTAAGATCGAGGCTTAATATTGCCAGATGAGATTGCAATTATCAAATCAGAATGTCATTGAAAGAGAGATAGACCCTAGGACGCCGAGTGTATATATAGGGTTGGCTAGGAAAATCTACTATAGGGCATATCGCGTCTAGATTTCCGATGTCAGTGATTGTGCGAGGATTCTCCTCAGATCCATTTGCCTGATTTGCCATGACACCGATGTACAACATTGCGGGACGAAAAATTATGAAACATCACGGATTCTGGCTTCCGCGTCAATGAAGATCTGGGTTGCTCTCCAAAAGGAGGACGGTGATTGGCGGCCATTGCGACCCCACGACCATAAGCCAACCATGTGGAGTGGCTGTGATGTCAAGTGGAGAGAATTTAGTCGGACTGGAAGACGGTTTCCGCTAATCTGCTGATTTATCAACTGGATTTTGGTCTGACGGTTATTGTGCGGGGATATTTCTGCATTTTGAGGTCAATGAAATCGATGGAGATCCTTTTTAGATGGGGAGATGGAGATAATATGCCCCTTCGAGGGAATATTCCAGAGAACATCGAATCTCTTAGAAGACGATGAGGTGATTGATGGAAAAAAAGACCTGACTCCTAACTCTCGGCCCACGGAATAACCCCGATAACCGCGGGGTTGTTGTTATTCTCTTAGTAAACTCCCCCACGCCTTTCTTTTCTTAAATATTTGAACTTCAATCTGTTTATATTCCTTATTCTATACTGTAAATAATCTTCTTTATCTCTTGATACCCTATAAATTCAAAATGGCTGCCTGCGATACCCGTTTCAAGCTCAACACCGGCGCGGAGATCCCCGCACTCGGCTTGGGAACATGGCAATCCCAGCCCGGTGAGGTTGAGCGCGCCGTGTTCCACGCCATCAAGGTGGGATACCGTCACATCGACGCTGCTCTTTGCTACGGCAATGAGAACGAAGTCGGTAAGGGTATCAAGCAGGCCATTGACGCCGGCATTATCAAGCGCGAGGATCTCTTCGTGACTACTAAGCTGTGGTGCTCTTACCACGCCCGTGTTGAGGAGGGCCTCCAGCAGAGTCTGACAGATCTCGGACTCGACTATGTCGACCTCTATCTGATGCACTGGCCCCTGGCAATGAACCACAAGGGTGAGTTGAGTTTCTTCAAATATGCAGATTCGAGGCGCTGACTAGTTCCACTATAGGAAACCACAACATCTTCCCCAAGCTCGCTGATGGCTCGCGGGACATTATCCACAGCCACTCCCACGTCACTACTTGGAAGAGTATGGAGAAGCTCGTTGGCACCGGCAAGGTCAAGGCCATCGGTGTTTCCAACTACAGTGTCAAGTTCCTCGAGGAACTTCTGCCCCAGGCCACCATTGTCCCCGCTGCCAACCAGATCGAGAACCACCCCTTGCTCCCCCAGCAGGAGATTGTTGACTTCTGCAACAAGGCTGGTATTCACATCACCGCTTACAGCCCTCTGGGCAGTACCGGCAGCCCGCTATTCACTGCTGAGCCCATCGTGGCCGTTGCCGAGAAGCGCGGAGTTTCTCCGGCTACTGTTCTTCTCAGCTGGCACAGTAAGTATTCCTCAAGGGTTTGCATCCTATACCGGATAAATTGTACTGACTGTTCATCCTTCTAGTCGCCCGTGGCTCTTCAGTCCTGGCCAAGTCCGTTACCCCTGCCCGCATTGAGGCCAACCGTGCCGACTTGATCCACTTGGACG